CTAATAAACCCTATTGTTATATGCTACTGAGTGTTTTGTTTTATTATTTTTTATATATGTTTTTATTGATATCATAAAGGAAGGGGGAGAGAGAGAGATAGAAACATCAATGATGAGAGAGAATTGTTGATTGGCTGACTCCTGCCCACCCCCTACTGGGGATCGAGCCCACAACCCAGGTATGTGCCCTTGACCAGAATCAAACCCTGGACCCTTGAGTTCACAGGCCAATGCTCTATCCACTGAGCAAAACTAGCTAGGGCTCATAGCATCCTTGAAACAATAGATGACTGGTGCATAAATGTTTAAGTGATATCACATGAACACTATAACAAAAACACAGAATGTGAAAAACCTGGAGAATGAATAATCCAGTTTCTTTTCTGTCCTGTAGAATTCCCCACATTCTGGAGGGAGAAATGTTATTGATTAAAAGAGACTTCAGAGACATACGAGTCAAAGGCAATGTCTGGATCTTATATGAACTAAAAAGGTGAAGGAAAACTCATGAACTATCTCATGCTAATTAAGGATAATATTCTGGTTATCATTCAGTATAAATATGTTCATTAGATATTAGATAAATGTTCCATAATCTTCCTTTCTTCCTTCCTTCTTTCCTTTCTTCCTTCCTTCCTTCCTTCCTTCCTTCCTTCCTTCCTTCCTTTCTTTCTTCCTTCCTTCTTGTCTACATATTTTTCATGAAATACTTTTGTAACATATTATACAGATAGAGAATGCATAAAAGATTTATAAATAGTTTCAAGATCAATTATAAGGGAAATACCCATGTAGCCACAGCCCAGGTTAAGAACAGAAACACTGCCAAAACCGGTTTTGCTCAGTGGATAGAGTGTCGGCCTGCAGACTGAAAGGTCCCAGGTTTGATTCTGGTCAAGGGCCTGCATCTTGGTGGTGGGCACATCCCCAGTAGGAGGTGTGCAGGAGGCAGCTGATAGATGTTTCTCTTTCATTGAGGTTTCTAACTATCCCTCTCCCTTCTTTTCTGTAAAAAAAAAAAAAAAATCAATAAAATATATATATTTTTAAAAAAGAATAGAAGCACTGACAACACCCTAAAACTCACATGTACCCCTCCCCAGTCACAGCCCCCACTCAGCCCAGAGGTAACTACCATTATCCCAACATCCGTGATGATGATTTTCTTTACAGTTTTAAACTCTATGGATATATCTCTAAACAATATAGTTCAGTTTCACAACAGTCTTTCAACTTTAAATAGGAATTTTTGAGTGAGGGTCGCCCATATTATTCAATGACAGTGTGCTGTAGTTTGTTCATTCTCTTTGTTGTGTTTCACTGTATACATATTCCAGGAATGGCATATTCTCTATTCCATAGTGGGTGGTGTTTGAGGTTGTCTCTGTTTGGCACTGTTACGACAATACTGCTGTGAACATCTTATATCTGGCCTCGGGCTTCTCCAGGTACAGCCTGAAGTGGAATTGCCGAGTTACAGGTTCTGCACATGTTTGTCTCCACTAGAAAAATGTCTGTTTCTGAAATGGCTTTATACCAATTTATATTCCTGCTAACATTTTCACTGTTCCACACAGTTGCTAACATTGCATGTAGACTCTCATTTTTGCTAACCTAGTAAGTATGTAGTATCCCACTGTGGTTTTCACTTGCATTCCTCTGATTATTAATAAAGTTGAACACATTTTCATATGACCACTGACAATTTAGGTCAAATTTTATGGTAGCAGCAAGTTCTCTGTTACTAGTTCCTAAGCGCGATCCCTAATGGATACACCACCAATGGCCTATTGTTGTTATTTTATTCATTCATTACATAAATATTTGTTGAGTACTATTTTGTTCCAGGTACCACTTTTAACACAGGTATACAGTAGAAATAAGATAGACAGAGTCTTCTGGTTTGAAATGTTGTTTAGACGTGGAAATCACCAGGCAGTTGGATCTTTTTAAAAAGTTGTCCCTTAAAGGAGTGGTTGGTGGTATGTAGCTTTCAGAGTGATCATCCTGTAGTTACTAATTACAGTTTTGGTAAAACACTTGCAGGAAAGAAAGCGGAAAGAGAGATAAGTCTACAGCTCAGCCCCGGTGCACTTTCTGAGGGGAGGTCTGACAGAAGCAGAGCCAGGGTGGAGAGGCGGGGGCAAAGGGAAGCCACAGGAGCAGGCTGTCAGTGAAGCTGGAGGAGGAAGCGCTTCTGGGAGGAGCAGAGTCAGCATGCTCTCTGAGAGGCAGAGCTAGACAGAACTGGCCACTCTTCACCCTCAAAGGAAATTAAACTAATGAAGCTTAAGTTTCACAGATGGTCACTAGCACAGGCTCCTTCAGTGCCTGTACCTAATTTTGTACCTGCAGTTTTATATTTTTTTGCTTAGATGACTTTCCAAATTGTATAAACTCAAGCCCCACAAAACCCAGATGTGCTTTCCTTCCTCATCATCCTCCACTTCTCCGTAACAACACATATTTCATTGATATTATTTCCTCCTTAGCTTCTTCTGGCACAGCCCTCTCTTCCACTCCTCTCTCCTCTCACCATTCCCTAAATGGAGATATGGGCTAACATTTGGCCTCAACCTTGTTCTCTCTACACTAAGCCGCTGTGAAATTATTCATTCATATCACCCTGGCATGGATAATTCCCAAACTCATACTTCCGGCACTGCTCGCTACCTCCCAAACATAGGCAAATAATGATGCCTTTTTAAAAGTAATTTGCCTTGATAAACATTTACCATTTTAGAAAGCTCATAAACAAAACAAAAAATGAATTTAGAAAAAGAATTATATACTTGGCTCAGCTAGTATTACTCATTGGCATATGTTTTGTAGGAAAAACACACACACACACACACACACACACACACACACACACACAAACAGAATGGAGCCTGTCTTAGTAACCTGTTGCTGAATAACAAATTACCCCACAATTTAGTGGATTGAAACAACAGCAGTGACTATCTCCCAGTTTCTGTAGGACAGCAATCTGTGTGAGGCCTAACCAGGTCCTCTGTCTCTGGGATTCTCACCAGCTGCAATCAAGGCATTGGGAAGAGTTATCATCACCTCAAAGCTTATTTGGGAAAGGACCCATTTCCTGTCTCCTTCAAATGGCATGGCCCAGATTTGGTTCCTTGCAGGTTGGTGCACTGAGGGCTTGAGATCCTTGCTGGCTGTGTGTTGGAGGCGGACCTCAGTTCTGTGCCATGTGGACCTCAAGCAGCTCACAACACAGCAGATGACTTCATCAGAGTCAGCAAGGGAGGTAGTGACTTCAAGAGAACACTCAAGTCAGATGAAAGTCAGTCACCTGTTGTCTTATTCTATTGCTAGAAGGGAGTCACTAGATACAGCCCACCTATAGTGAAAGGTGATTACACAGAGTGAATACAGGCAGACCTCGGGTTACGTCGGACCACTGACAGGACTTACCATGGTTGATCTTTGTGGTTAAGTCGCCATCTCCCATTTATTTATTTATTAATTTTTTTTTAAAGTTCCATCATTTTGACATATGTACATATATGCTTTATGTATTTTATTGTTTATTTACCACAGTAAAGGTCAGGAATTATCCTTTCTTTCTTTTTTTCTTTCTTTCTTCCTTTCCTTCTCGCTTTCTTGCTTTTTTCTTCCTTTCTCTCTTTCTTTTTTACTGTTTCACTTCATTACTGCTGTGTATTTGCTCCATTTGGGTGATGTAGGTGGGTTCCAACTACAGCAAAAATAAAGTTACCTTGCGCCATAGGAATGGATTTCCAACATAACCTGAGGATCTACTGTACCAGGAGTCAGGGATCATTGGAAGACATTTTAGAAGCAGCCTATCACACAGCTCCTGCCCTCCAGGGACTCACAATATAGGTGAGAAAGCATTATGTAGGGACCTGAGAAAGACTAAGGTGTGCTGGCTCAATCAATGCCAATCAGTGTAGATGTATGTTGCCTATACCTGAGTCCCTGTGTTCCTGCCAGATTGCTTGTAACAAGTTTTAGATGGTCATTGATCCTCATTGTACTTTGAGAGATATTTCACAGAGGCTGCCCTCCTCGCCTCCCATTCCAGAAGAACTGCTATAACGATGTAAAATGTGAGCTTAAAAATCTTACTAAGAGTGTGCTATGTGCTTGGGCAAGAATCCCCATTCGTTTATGCAATGCTGCTAGTAGGGAAGGACAGTGTCTATTTCTCACTTGGTGGTCAAAACTCCATCCAAATACCCCTCTTCCTTAAAAAAAAAATAGGAGACAACACTACAGTATTTGGATATGAATTATTTGCATTAATTCAGAAACTCAAGTTTCTCAGCTCATCTGCTGAGTTTTCCTCTTGCCATAAGAAACGAAAAAAAGAACAATTGGCTTATTTTAATCTCTCTGAAAATTACTCAGCGATTTAATAACTAGCACACGGGCTTATAGTCAATCGTAGGAAACGCAAGCGATCAAGTTAATTATGGAGTTACTTGCACATGCTGTAAGCACCCTTTCCCTGGCTTTATAGCATGTGGCTCTGGGCTCCTAACCTTGGTCCTCATGTGTAGTTCCACCCCACACCAGATGGGGCAGAAGCAGCCTTTCCTTGCTCCGGTTTCCGCCTCCCCCCCACCCCCCAACTTCTGTCTCTGTCAGACCCTACCAAGTCAATGAGAAAGGGGGGACGGCCATGGAGACTGCAGACGTGCTCAGGATTGCCTTCTCAAGAGAAGTGCATTCCAAATTATGAGATTTGTACTAACACATTTTAATTGTATAAGCTCTTGTGCGTGATAAAACTCCTAGGGCCTGGCCTTTCAAGGCCCAGCATTTTCCTGCCACCCCCCCGCTCTGGCAGTGGAAGGTTCGGTCCGGCCTGTGGAGGGCCGACCCGGAAGTCGCCCCGCGGCGCGCGCCGCGCTCTCCTCCCCGCCGCGGGAAGTGGAGCGCTCTGCTGCCCGGGCTCCTTGGGCTCCCCGGTTCTCCTCCTGGGTCCCCCCTTTCTGGGTCCCCACTGGCCTATGGGCCTCCACAGCGACGGCGGGGGCCCGGCCCCGGGGCGGGCAGCCCGAGCGCGGCCACGGAGCTCCGCGGGCCTGTGCGGCGGGGCCGCCGTGTTCGCCGCCGTGGCCGCAGTGTTCACCCTCACGCTGCCGCCCTCGGTGCCCGGGGGAGACGCGGGTAAAGTACTCCCAGGCCGCCCCTCCGCCCCTCTCCGCGGTCTGCGCTCCGCCCGCCACGGCTGGGCACTCGCGCCCTGCTCCCTCCTCCCGCCTGGCCTTCCTTTGGTCCTCCGGCTTTGGGGGGCTTGTCAGTTCCCTCCGCTGGGACGGACCGCCCTCTGCCCTTCCCCAGGCCATGTTTCTGGACCCGTTTTGCGTTCCATCCCCGTCCAGCCCACATGCCTTCGCCCTGCGTGTGGTGCTCCGGGCCCGAAGGAATGGACAGGAGAGGTGATGGGTATCGCGGAGAGGACGCTAGTGCCCGGAGATGGGCCAATCGCGGATAAAGAGCTGCCCGTTAAGTGGGGATCATGTTGACAGCGAGAGGGAAGTGTGATGGAGAAGGGGTGGCTAGTAGCTCTTTAAAAAAAAATAATAATAATAATAATTCTCTTTCGATTGAGTTTATTGGGGTGACATGGGTTAATAAAGGGAAACAGGTTTCAGGTGTACGATTCTATAACCCATCATCTGTGTACTGTACTGTCACTCACCACCCCACGTGACGCCTCCTTCCATCGCCCCTTACTCCCTCTTTACCCTCTTCTACCTCCCCCCAGCCCACAGCACCCCGTTCCCTCAGCAGTCACCCTACTGTTGTCCTTGTCCAGGGGTTTTTGTTTGTTTAATCCCTTCACCCTTTTCGCCCAGCTCCTCAAATCCCCTCCCCTCTGACAGCTGTCAGTCTGTTGTCAAAGGAGCCTGTTTTCTGTTTTGTTTGATTTATTTTGTTCATTATGTTTCACACATGAGTGAGATCACATGGTGGGTCTCTTGCTCTGGCTTATGTCACTTCGCATGATGCTCACCAGTTCCATCCATGCTCCATGCTGTTGCAAAGGGTAGTAAGGTATCCTTTTGTTTACTGCAGGGTAATAGTATTCCATCGTGTAAAAGCACTACACACAGCTTTTCTTTCTTTCTTTCTTTCTTTCTTTCTTTCTTTCTTTCTTTCTTTCTTTCTTTCTTTCTTTCTTTCTTTCTTCCTTCCTTCCTTCCTTCCTTCCTTCCTTCCTTCCTTCCTTCCTTCCTTCCTTTCCTTCCTTTCCTTCCTTTCCTTCCTTTCCTTCCTTTCCTTCCTTTCCTTCCTTTCCTTCCTTTCCTTCCTTTCCTTCCTTTCCTTCCTTTCCTTCCTTTCCTTTCTTTCCTTTCTTTTCTTTCTTTTCTTTCTTTCTTACCTATCTATCTAGTGGCTCCTGAATGGCTGGTCAGGAAAGGCCACGGAAGAGGTGGAATTTTCGTGAATATTGAATAGGAACCAGCCTTGCAGAATATTTGGGGGAGAATACTTAGAGTACTTAAAACAGAGGAAGTCAAATTGCAGTTTAAAGCAAGCTACTTCTATTGAAAAGCAATCTATGACTCTTGTGCCATTTAAATCACGAGAATTCTTGTTTTGTATTTGGTCTGAGGAGAAACAAGAAGCAGGTTTAGTTTTGCTCCCAATTTGAGTGACCATGCAATAATGGCCAGTAATTTTGTCAGTGCCCTAAATTCAGATAGTAAGTCTGTGGTTACCTTTGCTGTATAACAAGGTACTTGCTTAAAACAAGGAGTATTTTTTAGCTCCTGTTTCATGTTTATCGGGAATCTGGGTGCTCTTCTTCGGGACAAGGTTGCGGTCATGGTGTAGGCTGGGCTGCAGGCCTGTCCAGGCTCAGCTTGGGGAGGACTCGCTTCAGAGCTCAATCCAGTTCTTTGCCACGTGGGTCCGGGTGAGCTAACCTCTGTCGGGAGGAAGAGATGGCCCCTTTGCCATTTTGTAGCTTAATCTTGGAAGTGACATACCATTGCCCTGTTTTAATCATGGAAGTTCATAACTCAAGTCCCCTCTCGGGGGCGGATCATACAGTGAGAATACCAGGAGGTGGAGATCCTCAGGGCTGCCTACCACACACGAGGATCCTTGATGTTCCATTTTCAAGCCATTACCGTTATTCTTTCGGGTCCCATTGCACTTGTAGGGGGATGGTTTCATGAGTACAGTGAGGAATGGAGTTACCGTGCTTCCAAGGTTTATATTAAACAAGAGAAATAACTATTTTTGTGAGAATTTTGACATTGGAGAGCATTAGTCAGGGGGTGGGTAGTTCTATACCTTTCCCAAAAGAAAACCACTGACAGGACTCATCATGGTTGACTGAAATTGAAATATTGAGGAGGGGTGATGAATAATAACTAATACTTACTGAGCACTTGCTATGTGCAGGTACAATGCTAAGTGCTTTACATGGATTGTTATTTTAGTCCTCCCAGCTACTAGGGGTAGTAGCTATCAATATGGTAGCTACTTTCAGTAACTATAAGGTAGTTACTATCAATATCTTTATAACCCTGACAGGTTGCTCAGTGGTTAGAGCATTGGCCAGTGGACCAAGGGGTCTTAGGTTTGATTCCTGGTCAAGGGCTATTACCTCTGTTGCAGGTTCCTCAGCCCCGGTTGGGGAGGGTTCAGGAGGCAACCAATTCATGTGTCTCATGTAGATGTTTCTCTCCCCCCCCCCCCCCTTCCTCTAGAAATCAGTGGAAAAAAATAAATATCTTTATAAATGAGAAAACTAAAGCTAAGCGATGTCCAGAGTTACCCAACTAGAAAGTAGGGGCAGTTAAGGAAATAATCCAAGAAAGTTGACTTTAAGACATGCTCTCTTACCCTTTACTCTCTGTCAATTTATAATTTTATAAATTGTTTGTGAAATGCGTCATCACATATATAGTGATATTTAGAGTATTTATTGATTGTTGCATTGTCTTTATTAATGTTTTTTTTTTAATTTTCCCCCAAAGAATAAAGTTATCTATTCACTTTGAGGTACCAAAAAACTTTTTAGGTGCTCTTGTTTAGTTTGACGCTAGTTGTCACTTCTAGTACTGTTGTTCATTTCGGGGAACAATAAATTGTATAATCATATCTTTGATAATTTTATGTTGAATGGGCTGTTCTCCTTGAATGTTTGTGTTTATGAAATATATTTTATATCAATAAACAACCCATCTCAAAACTAATAAAGAGCATGTATTATTATTCCTGATAAATCTTAAATACTCCATCAATCCATCCTACTGTGTGGCCTTGCCAATCTCTTGTACCACCTGATACACATAGTTGATTTATGGGTAGGAGTGCTCAGTCCTTTGGAGGAGAGGATGAGAATCTAACCTTCACGTCAGTTTGTTATTCTTGGGGGGATCGAATTCACATTCAAATACCATCTTGAACAGACTTGGTGTTTGACAATATAATTACTATAAAATGTATAATATAAAGGAACTCATTTTTAATGATTAAGCATCTGCTAACAATTCTGAGCTTGCTACCCATTTATGTCCCAGACAAGTGATAAGAAGTATGAAGGAGGATCATCATGAAAAACAAAAAGCTGTGGTTCTCAAACTTGAATATACTTCAGAAATTCAGCCCCAGTTTCAGATTGTCTTAGCGTAAATAGATTTGGGGTATGATCAAGAAATCTTCATTTTTATAACACACCCAGATAATTTTGATTGCAGGTAGTGTTAGGACTTAAATTTCAGTAGCGTAAAAGGTTGGGTGGAAGCAAGGACCCAGGAGGATCTTTGTTGTTTTTGACTGTTTATGTTTTTCCTTTCATTATCATACATAATTTTAAGAGTAATATTTCCCACTCTAGCCAGTTTGGCTAATGTGGATAGAGCATCAGCCTACATACTGAAGGGTCCAGGTTCGATTCTGGTCAAGGGCACCTACCTTTGTTGCAGGTCCCGCAGCCCTGGTCATGGTTCTTGCATGAGGCAACCAATCGATATGTCTCTCTCATCGATGTTTCTGTCTCTTCCCTCTCCCACTCTCTTGAAAAATCAATGGAAAAATATCCTTTGCTGAGGATTAACAACAAAAAAAGTAATATTTCCCTTTAGCTCTTTATCACAAATACAGTTATAGGCTTTGATTTGAATGGTAGCATCTTCTTTGTATAGATTTTAGTTTAACTTTTGATAAGAGTTGATGGAAATTTTTCATATTCCAGAATTATCCTTATACTAACAGAACACCAGCAAAGAATAACAGCACATAGGCTTTCTAATGATAAGTAGCTAGAGAAAATGGGCTATATTTGTTAATGTTAACATTTTAAATGGAAGGGAATGACTAGTGGCCTTGAAATTTTGAACTGCACTGCACTTCATTACACCTACAGAAGTTTAAGAACAATAAATTTGGTTAACATAGTTTTGGAATAAAGACATTAGAACTATCTTATTCTAGAACAAAACTATATACTTGACAATAGTTACAAAGGGAACTGTTATTCGAGACATTTTTAGATCATAAACAATTTCTTTGAAAAGTATGTGAGATACATAAATTACCTTTGGTTTCTAAGGTTTTCTTGACTATCTCCAGAAAACTTAAAATATGCCCTTAAGTAATTGACTTCAATAAGCAATATGGGTCTTAAGGTGCTTTTATGGAGGTTTTATGATGTAAGCAGTCATTTACCTAGGAGGTGTCTGAGGAGCAAGGATGACATATGATAGGTGTCAGTCAACCTCTATGTCTGGAGCTTGTGTGTGTGTGTGGCCAGAGGAGGAAGAGGTGGTGATGTCTTGACAAGATCCTGAAGTGGTTAGAATAATATTTGTCACTTAGTGGATAAGACAGAAATGAAAGCAACTAATCAGAATAAAAGGCAATCTAAACAAATGCTAAATATAGAGATTCAGGCAAGTTCTATAAGGAAGCAATGATCAATTCTGATGGTGGAGTTAGCTGTGGAGGGAGTGTGTGTAAGGAGACATGTCACTGAGAAGGTGACAACTGAGCGATAAGGATTTAGAAGAGAATACCAGGTGAGAAAATGAGCAATAAGAGACATGAAAGAGGACCATTCCAGAGGAACTGTGGGTAATCAGATTTGACCGAGGTGAGCATAGGTTTGTTTGTAAAGGGAACTTGAAGCCATAGAGGGCTTGCATGTCATGCTGAGGAATCTGAATTTCATTGAGTAGGCAGAGAGCAGCCATTGAGAAATTTTAGACGAGGGATACGATCTAGCCTTTTGGGTTTGGGGGAGTAGGTATGGGAATGGCATTTAATAAGTGACTTCAGTATGAAGAGGAATTGAAATAGAAAATTGGTCAATACTATTGTAATCCAAGCCAGAGTAGGTAAAGGTCTACACTGTGGCTAGGGCAGTCAGTAAAAATTAAGAATATTGATATTCATTGAAGGATAGAAAATGGACATTAATACATTTACTAATAGATAATAAAACTTTCATAAATCATCAATTAATGTTGATTGATTTCTTACATTGTCCGGTATTAGAGTATACACGGATGAGTCAAAAATAGTCTGTGTTCTGGATGCTTAAAAAATATTAACAGAACAGTCTCTTCCTCTGCGTTGCTGCATTGCCCATCTCCTACTGGGCACCATGGCGGCCCTCAGACCCCTGGTGAGACCCAAGAATGTCAAAAAGAGGACCAAGAAGTTCATCCAGCACCAGTCAGACCGATATGTCAAAATTAAGTGGAACTGGCAGGAGCCCAGAGGCATTGACAATAGGGTGCGCAGAAGATTCCAGGGCCAGCTCCTGATTCCTAGCATTGGTTAGGGGAGCAACAGGAAAACAAAGCGCATGCTGCCCAGTGGCTTTCAGAACTTCCTGGTCCATACGTCAAGGAGCTTGAAGTGCTGCTGATGTGCAGCCGATCTCACTGTGCTGAGACTGCTCACATCTCCTCAAAGAGCCCAAAGCCACTGTGGAAAGAGCAGCCCAGCCAGCCATCACCATTCCCAATGCAAGGCTGCGCAGCAAAGAAAATGATCAGACAGATTATGTACACATTGTATTTGTGTTAATAAAATCACAAAATTCTACCCAAAAGCAATGCTAACTAAACAGGCACTGAATTAATGCATTATCATTTTAAAAATAATTGCTAATGACAAGGATCTGGAGAGGGCTATGTAAATAGTATAAGGATTTAATAGCTTGAAAAAAATATATATCATGGTAATTGGAGTTTACCAAAATAATCTGGAGCAAATAAACACGTGGAAATTGTTTAAAAGGTATGCAACCTAATGAATGTAGAGAAGGCATTTGAATGTCAGATGTAAGGCAATATGGCACACTCTTTGGATGTCTGCACTTTCTACATTTCATACAATTATATCTTTATAGACAGTTTTGTACTATATTCTTGAGGGCTAATATATTACATTAATGCTCTCTAAGAGTTTTAAAAAATATTTTGCAAGTGTGTACAACTTTCAGGAGGGAAAATAAATGTCTTTGTAAAAATGAATTCACCTCCTTTTACTGACCAGTTACTAAAAGCTACCCAAGATAGTTTATTCAATAAGACCTAAGGTGGAAAATATTCTTAGACTAGTCACGCTGTTAAATCTCTGCAGATTTAGTTTTATCCGGTCAAATTAATGCAAAACCCCAATGCAAGCATTTGGATTTTGAAAACTTTGGAGGAGTGTCATTTTCTAATAGTCATTATTGGTTTTACATTATTTTTTCACAGGGGAACTGATCACAGCCGCACACGAGCTTGGAGTAAGTATTAGTTTTATTGTTTAATCAATGCTCTCATTAACAGTTTTAGGAATTAAGAAAGTTTAATTAAGCATGGAATAAAGTAGATTAATTTATTTTTAAACCCCAGTTTTTACTAACTTATAAGTTCAGTACGTGACAATTTACTTTAAGTTTTAAATCCAATTACACTAAATTATAAAGCAAAGTCTTTACTATATGTACAGTAGCCGGCTTATTATCACCCTAAAATTTGGTATAAGCTGTGGAGAATAAAATAAATCGGGTTAACAGTTTTTAATAAGTTTATTATTTAATAAACTTTATTATGGCGCATGATCCCTTTAGGCAAGACCTTAGGACTGTCAGCATGGTGGTAATCCGACGGCAGTGTGGTCTTTTCAACTTTCTCACCAATAGGATATTTCAGAACCTGCTTCTTCTTTCTTTCTTTTTTTTTTTTTTTTTTAAATGACCCTCATGTACTATGAACCCCGAGAACAAACTGCTTAAGAATTGACAATGAAATATGTCACCCTTTCTCTAGGTGACATACCATGTGATAGACCCTGCCAAATCCACTGAAGAAAATATTTATTTGTATTGGCTCAGAAGGATTACAATAGAAAGCCACTATTAGCCAGCCATTCGCTCTTAATCTTTATACTTGCCCGAGGAAAGGGCTACTTGTTCGTGAAAGCCGGTGAGACCCTTCCTTTCCCAGATGAGAACCTTCTAACCGTTGTGAATTTTCCCGCAGGTCGCCCATCCTCCTGGCTATCCTTTGTTCACTCTGGTGGCTAAACTGGCAATTACACTCTTTCCTTTTGGCTCCGTTGCCTACCGGGTCAATTTTCTGTGTGGTTTATTTGGCTCGGCAGCTGCGTCACTCCTTTTCTTCACCGTTTTCAGGTACAGTAGTTGACTAGTTAAAACCCATTCTGACTGACTGGAGATGTGATTTTCTTATAGCCCAAATACAGACATTAAAAATTGAGTTTCGTTAGCGTTTGGATGGTTTTCCAATATCACCCATGCGACTCCACTTTCTTAATCTATAGTCATTTCATATGCATTTGACCCCAAATGATTACACAGTCAATTCTGCTTCATACAATGGCATGAAAGTATCACCAGTTCATTATCACAATTCTCTGGTTAGGCAGAACTAATAAGGTTTGTCGTTTTATGAAAATGCAGATGGGCTAGCTCAACCATAGGAAGTTCATCTTCGGGTAAATGATAAATGTCCTTTAATTACTCACGGTATTGCTGATGGGCAGCTGCCTATCAGGTTCAGAGCTAAGACCCAATCCTATTGTATTTAAATGTGCACATGTTGTATAACTTTTGAAATGAGGCTATTAACTAAAGAAATCATTTGGGATGTGGTTTTAGTAAGGTTTCACTTTGTTCCATTATAGCTGTAGGGAAAATAGGCAAATTAGACCCCACTTATTTCATTGATGGAAGGCTTTCTTAGTTTTGAAGGCTACAGCGCTGCTTTTAAAAAACAGGTCATTAGTTTAGGATATTGGTGAACTCATTTGTCTTTGCTATTTCTGTTTCCTTCATTCTTAACTCAGTGTAACCTATGCCTAAGAGGATTAAAGTGAAAAATACAAATTATACTTCCTGCAAAGGGAACGCCAAATTAAAACACTTCTTTCAAAAACTATTGTAGGTTTGATTATAAAACAAATAACTTTTGTATGTAAATACAGTAGAATTTGAACAGACATAATTTCAAATGTCATTTTGGAGGCCAGTATTTTCATTTTGGTTAGTCATAATATTGCCCCTAAACTAAATTATTTTCTAAATTGTCTTTTAATTATTTATAGTAAGGTAAAAGTTAACATAATTATGACTTTATACTTTAAATCTATTTGTAGAAAGCTTTCAGAGTCAGATGTTATAATTGTTGATCATTCACTAAATTTTTATTTATATTATTTAATTTGTTTATATTTCAGTCTTATAGGTTTTCAGTGATAGCCAATTTTTTAAGTATGAAATGTTTAATATCTCTGCTTGAATTTATTTGTATTATGAATGTTATTATATTTTCTTTATCTAAATGATTAGAATAATCTTTATTAGATTGCTCTTTCTGAATCTTTTATAATGAAGAATCTATCATTATTTCTGTTGATAGGAAAACTGATCTTTTTTATTTTTAAGTATTCAAGTTGAAATTTAGACTTACCTGTTCTGTATTGAATGTGTGAGTTATTAATTTCCACAAGACACTTTTAAGATAGACGTTTAAAGAAAAGTAATACTTGTATTTAGGTTGTTCATCTGTATTTTAGAAGATTATTTCTATAACATATACATATGTTTAAATGCTGTGTGGCTATAAATAGCTTTTATGCAAATAAAGAGCTTTGCTTTCTAAAACTTTTCCATATTTTTCAGTATATGAATTGTTGATGCTATTCTACATGAAAAACCCTATAAAAATCCTTATCTTTATAGAATCCAAATAGTTTTTAACAATAATTTCCCTTTGAGTTTTCCTTTTGAGATTTTAAAATAGCTTTTCTTAATTATTATGCTTGTCTATAATGGGTTTTGGATTAGCACACTAGTTAGTCTGTAACCCTTTTCTTTTAATATATAGTCTTAGTGATAAATTTATGTACTCGCTGTTACACGTTTTAAACCCAAAACTCTTAATATGATAAACTGAATATTTAAGTTGCTTTAGTAATATAGTACTTTGAAAAAGTTGCTTTCTTTCAGAAAAGGGACCTAACAATATTATCTCTTACATGCATTTTCATATGAAAATACTTCATTATTTTGAGTACAAATAATTGACAAGGTACACGTCCTTTGGGAGCAACCTAGTTCAAGTGGCAAATCTGTTTTGTCAAACAATAGACACCCTTCAGGAGAGAGCAAGCCATCTCTATGGTAATAGGACTAACAGTAGCCTATTGATTGAGTGGAAGAAGACATTATACAATGTCAGCTGGCTTGTTACAATTTCATTTGTTGTATGACCTGAACTTAACCTTTAAAACCTTTCTTCTGTGAATATAAACCCAACCGCAGGATGCAGTTTTTGTACAGCCATTACAGTGACAGCTTTTTTTCCAGCCCTACCATACAGTAAATGTATTCCGTTACAGGTTGATTCCTTTATCAGAATTCATTGAGGAGACATTTCACCACTTTATTCATTTATACACCAAATCTTCATTCTGTTTTGTTGTTACATATTGAGGAGTTTTGATCCAGGAAGCTGTTTTATTCTTTTTTTTTTTTTTTTCCTACCACTTAAGAGAAATTACTGTACATATGGGATTAATGCTGACTGGTGTGCAGTAAATTAATTCTTTTAACAGGTTTGGGGTTTTTTCAGGTAATTGTTCACATAGCATTCACTATATTTAGCTCTTGGGTGGACATAAAGACCTTCTGTACCTTTTAAACAAAGATTGTATTTCAAAAGCAAATTTCTGTTTAAATGTGTTGATGTAAAAAGCTCCATTTTTTTCAGTAAATATGACTTGATTGAGAGACCGATTTATTCGTTGTTTCCAATTACTATGTAATTTTTGCCTTTCTCTTGCTTTTAAAAGCAGTAAGATATCATTAACACTGCATTTTTTGGTCAATCTTTTCTAGTGGTTGGCAAGAACTCATTTATATATTTGCTTTGCACTAATGTGGAAAGCATATGAGTAAAACAGCACATTGAAAGCTATCTGTATCACTGTAGTTTATTGAATTAAACATAGTAAGACTATGCCAGTTGTTTCTGTATGTATTTATGTATTGTCCCCTTCTGGGGAATTTTTAAGCATGCCTAATGTTAAGGGAGTTTAATGTAATACATTTAATTTATATTACATAGAATTCATTTTATTAATGTGTGCACCTATGCATTTAAGACTGTAATACAGTTAATGTTTAATAGAAATTGAGATTTTCTCTTTTTTAAGGCCATTAAAGTAAATGATTTTTGAGTTTGATTGTATGATATTTAAAGCGTTAAATTTGAAATTCACAAATCCCAGTAATACAACATAAAAAAAGTTAAAGAAAATGTAAATCACTTATATGAACACCACTTAGCATTGCCTTGTACTTGAATCTCAAATTTATTTCCTAAGAAACATGAGACTAGGTCCTATATACTAATAAGGAAGGAATACTGAAATCACTATCATTAAACATCAATGTGCTTACATTTCGTATATCCTGGTATCACTAAAAGAGAATGGATAGTATTGCATAAAAACTCTTTACCTCAGGAAAAATTTAAATCGCTTATGATCTCAGATGAGGGCATATCCTGCATCATTTACTTTGGTTGCTACAAGGCAGGGAGTAGAGTCTCAACAGGTTTGAGAGTCAGCATATCCTTTTCAAACTGTTAGGGGCCAGAAGGAGCATTAGAAGGATTGATTCAGCAGTATTTGTTGAGCACTCAGGTGAGTCAAAAGTAAACTTGTTTTAGTTTTTATAATAAAAATTCAGCGCTTATTTTAAAGAAAGACAAAATTACCAACCTTTAAACAGTCAGTTTTTAAAATATTTTCTCTAAAAGGCACTGTTTCAGGAAACTCACACTAAAAAACTTTCTGAGGCCATTAATAGTGCACAGTAAGAAATCAGATCGTTTAATGTCAAGCAGGTTACCTAGACTATATGAATATTAATAATAATTACAGGTATATGGAAACTATGCCTGTTTACTATAAAGAACCTACAACCAACTTCAGGAATATTTAAATATCTTCTGGCAAATCGTTTTGTTCCATTATTTTATTTATAGGGTATTTAATTTTTTATGAGTTGTATGTTTCTCAACATGCTGCTGCTAAAAGGAGTTTGATTAGAAAAAAGAACACTTGATTCTGAGCACTGTGTCTGCTATTTGTATAGCTTCAGCTAAGATTCCCTTCAATAAAGAATAGAAAAAAGGCATACCTTAGAGAATATAGAATCTTCTGCTTAAGGGACATTTGGATTTTCCAACTCAAAGAGTATTCTAGATGATTGCGGTAGAAAATAATGTGAAACTCTGCCTAATTTCAGAGTTACTATGCATAAGTAACAAATAGTCACCAAGTTTTTGTAGTTGAAGAAGAATGAAAAGTACTTAATTTCCATTCACGAGAATATCTGTTTTGATCCCTGGTTAATTTCTCTCATACTTGTATTAAAATTGCATTGACTCAGACTGGGTAAGCATCTTAAGAGCTTGGTTCATTTGCATTTTCTTATAAGTAGAGGGACATATTAGGCTCAAATAACAGCACTTCATTTTGAAGGGGAAAAAAGCAGGGCAGAAACTCTCTTTTAAGACTGTAGAGTCTTTTCTGACAGCTAGTCAGAGTTAGAATTAGTTCAAGGAAATGTTAATAACGCACCGCCTGGCCTAATCCCTTTGATATCACCAGGTATCCTCCTGTTCATGGGTTAATTGCTTTAAAAGCGAAGGCAATATTCTGAGCGGTGGGCCGCTTCACCTTTTCACAGCTGTTACCATTGAGTGACAACTAAATCCCATGTGTAAGATGAGGAAGAGCTCAATCTCCAATTGGGAGAAAATTTATGTAAACCACAATCCCTTCAGAATGTACGGAAGTCATAGACTTTCTTGATTTACTCTGCTTTTCCCAGAAAGCTCTATTGTTCACTTTCCTAAGTCCCATCAACCCTTTGTAGCAGAATATCACAGCGGCAGCAGATAGCTTGAAATATATAAATGCTATCATAGCTCTGATTAATAGCAGTGCTTATGAGTCAAGTCTGATAACAGTGCAGCTCTCCACTCAATTTCAGATACTGCTAATGGAATCTGTCTTCTCCAATTGTAATATGAGAAGGCCTAATTTGCCATGGAGCTTGGAGCTGTCACCAGTAGGGGATTGTGGGGTCAGATGGGAGCT